GGGTTAGCATCTCCTTGAGACAGATATTACTTAAAAGTCTGGACTAAAAGCGAAATTGTTCTAATACCTACTGCAATATTTAACCAGGGTTAGGAACAAGGAGAAAAGGAACTACCAGTACTCCTTTTTCCGGGGGGGGGGTTGAAATAAGTTGAAAGGTATTACTCACAATAGTGATTGATAGAAAACAATGGTAAATGGCTTTTGCTGTTATTAGTAATGATAAAAAGCTAATTAGATAGAAGAGGTCAGTTTATTGGGGTGAATTAAGAACAACTTGATCTTCACGACCATTTATTAGACTCTTTAAATGGTTACTCTGTAACTTGTTTTTCTCTCTGAATAGTTGGATGAAGTGTACCAGGCAATGGCATGTGATTTAGGAGATCTAGAAATAACTCCATTCTATGCCCACCATCTGAAGGTATTTGTTTTAGCTGTAAATACTGTTAAAGATGTTTTCATTTTCACGAGCTCTATGTGTGGGGAGGCTGTATTTAAAAAAACTGATACATTGATGTAAATAATTATTATTTTTAAATTACTAATGAAGAAAGTAAAGCTTATATATTTCTCATCTTGTGTACCTGTACAAAAAAACAAAACCTTTTCTGACAGTAATTTTAGTTAACCCAATGCTAAAATACATAAACACAAATAATATATTTGTATACCGTAGGACACTTAAATCAAAGCTATTTTTATCCTCATGCATTTGTTGTATTTATGAAAGCTGTCATCTCTTCTTTACTTTCTAGGTATTTTTGTACATTGAGAATAAGAAAGTATGTGGATGCTGTATGACAGAACCAATAGAAGAGGTATGTAAGCTCTAATTAGATTCAGCTGTGTTGATTTGTATCCTTCAGGAGTACTGTTCTGTTGGTTTTTTTCTTGTGTGTAATTAATCTAACTACTATCATACCGGGATATAATAAAACCTTTTTTTAATATTTTTATCAAGAAATAATTTGTCATAAATTAGCCTAAAATTTAAATATATATTCATTGTTTGTTGCTAGGGGAATCGCATTCTTATGACTGATAATGACTCAGTAGATGCTAGCGAAAGACGACCATGGCGATGTAATGAACAATCAGAACCTGCTGCTGTAGGTATAAGTCGTTTGTGGATTCCTGTTGAAAACCGTAGAAAGGGAATTGCCACAAAATTGGTGGATTGTGTAAGGTAGGTCACAGTTCAGTTTTTTATAAGAATTTTTTTTTTTTCCCGAATAACTTTTAAGTCTAAATGGCCCCAGACACGCAGCGCCGCCATTCGCACCCAGGTCCCATTAGACCAATGCTGTAAAATGTCATACAATTTGTGGTAGTTTATTTTAGCTAATTTATATATAAAATATTAATTAATATAATATATATATTACTTCCTTGTGCATATCTAAGTGTAAGATTAAAAAATGTACGGTACTCTTATTGTTGTTCATTAACAATCATTTTTTAATTTTGTAGGCAATGGTTTAACTATGGCATCCTCATTCCTAAAACAAAAGTGGCATTCTCTGACCCAACACCAGATGGCTTTAATTTCTTCCAAAAATACATGGGCAGCTCAACTTTCTTAGTTTATAAATATAAGGCTTAATGTAACTGCTAAATTACATCAGACTAAATGAGGTGGGAGAATTGCTTTATTTTTTTCATATGTACCGGTATTTAATGTTACAAATACTTAATGAATTGCTGGTAGCAAAATTTTAGGTTTGTTGTTCAGATATTATTATTATTAAATATCTTGTTCCACAACTTCTGTTTGAATCATCTGTCGTGTTTTGATTTGTGAGTTGTTTTTTCAACTTTGAGTAAACTTCTTTTAAATTTGGAATTTACACTTAAATTGTGCAGGACATGGGAATGGAATAATAAATAAATAGTGAGTGTGTATCTTGTGAGGTTTATCATAAGTAAATTACCGGGTAACAGTGGATGACTGAAATCAGAGGAAAGGAAGAGACATAATAACTAGTGAAAGATGGACATGGCATATGTATAAAGAGCTGGAACGTTCCTCCAGGAAATCAAAATGTAAAATGTGATTAAATTAATTGTACCGGTACCGGTATGATTTGGTGGCTGATTAGAAGTCATATGAAAGGATTTGTCTATAGGTGGCACTTGAGCATTAGATACCGGTATCATTGTTCTGACAATAAAAATTAAGCCTGCATTTGTTACACTTTGATTGTCTGAAAATATAAATAATCTTGTAATTTTTTAAACTAAAAAGTTGTAAATTTCTGTAAAAGTTTTGTTCATTTTTTCATAAATGTCTACTTAAATGATCACTCCCAGAAAGGGTAGTACAAAGCTCAGTCATATACCTGTTCATGTTCATGGCTTAAAATTATGGATCTTCTATTATGATACACATACTTAAGTTTTGACATTTACTTTGTATCATTAATTTGTAAACAAGTGTGCTGTGAATTAGCTGACCTTTCATTTCATGCTTGCAATAAACCATATTCAGTGCCTTATATTTTGACTAACCAGTTACTCATTATGCAGCTTTACATTTACGTCACAAAATGTAATTAGTAATATCATATTTATTATTATTCTTAAGACCAAATTCTTTTGTGAGAAGCATACTATATTTTTCAATGATTGTTTTTATAAAGTAACTCCTGTATTTTGTATACTAGGTAAACAACTGATGATAAGCAATTATTGTATGGTTAGATGAGCACTTGACAAATTGTACACAGACTCAATAAAGCTAGATTATATTCTGAGCCATTCTAATCTTTTTCATCTCAAATTTCTTCAGTGGCTTACCCATTTGAACTTGTTACATATTTTTTACTTGCATTAGCCATAATGAACATAATTCAATTTTGTAGTCATGTACATATTTGTTCTTCATACTTAATTCAACAAAACCATACCGGGTATTTAAAAGTTTGAGGGATCAAGATATACTTTGTATAATAATAAAGTTTTTATCAAGTTAATTACATTGTTTGCCCTTTATCTTATTACAGTGGCAGTAGGTGACTGTTGTCACATATAGGTGTAAAGGGAAAATATATTTTTCAAGTTTATCCTTGCACTGAATTAAAATCAGTTTAGATATTTTTTATAAACTTCTATATGAACTAATTGCAGTAAGTAATCCAAGACACATAGCATCTTACGATCAGTGAAAATTCATTGTCTGGGTATATTATGAAAATAACTCAAAACTAACTACTACTACTAGATTAGTTTTAGTCTTAAAAAAAGTGATGTGAATGGATTGTACAATCAAAAGGGTCAATTATGTTACTTATTTTCATATTCTTAGATTTATCAGAGTAAAACGCTATTTAAGTTGTTTTAGTATATTCCCAATTTTTAAGAGCAAAGGTTACATAATTTTTTTCTTGTAAATTTTACACTGACATTGGTATAGGGTTTTTATATTAGTCATAAAATTTCTTATTTTTCTCAAGAAATCTTAATAAAAAATATTGCTGTTGTCACAGCATACCTTATAAAAAAAAATTAAGTCATGGTAAACCTTTTATTATTTCAAACATAATTTAAACGTAGTATTCTAATTCTACTTCCATGTTTGAAATTAAGAACAACCAAATATTGTGAAAACTTGTTGAAAAAAATAAAATAACAATAAAAGTATCTAAATTCTTATTTAGTCCTACATTGTATAATTATTTCTTCTCTGTGACTGTCACAAGCTGCTCAAATGATAAAGTAAAATTAATGTTATTTTTAAGAAGTCTTTATTAAGAATAGGGACAACATAATCCACTAAAGAATTTTATATTCATGGTACTAACAAATAACTCCTCCTCTCAAATAAATGATTCCATCCCACTGCTGCACATAATCTCATGGGACCAAATCATTAGTGCAATTATTTTTCTAGATTCAAAGTTTGGTGTGAAAAAGATCAGTTGTTGCCAACCAGCGCCCTTTAGGGTTCCATATACACCACTTAGGGGCTCACCAAAAGAAATAAATTCTTAAATAGTGTAAAGGTTTGTGAAGCACTTGTGTTTTTATTTTAGCTGTAAATATTTTTTTAACCAGGTAACCACTTGAGTTAAAAAAAGAATCTTTGTATTTTTAGATTTAAAATAAAGATATCTGTAATTACTGCATTGCCAAATTGTTCCATGCCCTTTATCCAAGGAGCATAGAGGTTCATGGAACAAAAAAGTTTAAGAACCTGGCGGGCAAGCAATATTCTAAGATTTAGACTGAGAATTTATGCATCAATAAAAATACTTTTTTTTTTTAAATTTCAACTTCTAAAAAAATATGGGTATCAAACAAAAATTTTAAAGTAAAAAGATTTTAAAAAACAGACGCTGATCATTCAATGCTTTAACTTTAATACTATTTGTTCAATTAACAAAATTTCCTTGTTCTTGTTCACATCAGCAAGTGTAAACTAATATGCAATAAGGCAGATAAATATACAATGTCAGGAATGTTTAGTCAACATTTAACATTAGTTGTGTTTAAATCAGATCATAGTCATTATTAATTATTTGGTTAATTAATTAATGACAATATATATCAATAGTTTTGTGTTAAAAATTACCAAAAGTTTAATTCATATAGTTATTGGCTGGCATCAATATCTGTTAAGTGTGAATAATAAAGAACTAATTAACAAAGCAAGCAAATTAAAACAAAACATTTTAATGCCTTAAGAAGTGGGCATTTAAATAACGTCAAATGCATTTTGTCCAAAATGGGACGGATTAATTTTGTGACTTGTATATAAGAATACATTCACTGAAAAGAAATACGGGTATTTATGAGATTCCAAAGGACCATGTGACAATAATTCCCCCCTTTTTTCTTTTTGGGCTCAGAACCATCCAACTCCATCATTGTCATCTCTTCTTCTTCCCCCTCTACCGCCACCTCTACCTCCCCCTCTTCCTTTGAAATCACCTTCCTCTTCCCTTCTTGTCTTGAATGTTAAGTATCTCTCTGCCATGGAGATTAACTCATCCGGAACATCCTTAGAATGAAGTTGTCCAATAGGTAAATGAAGATGAATTTGCAGATAGAAAACTTATGCATAGACTTTCTAACAAATATGTCATAACTATAAATCTAGGTCAGATGCTAGCTTTTATCATGACAGTGTCTATTAAAATAGCCTAACTACCCAACATAATAAAAATTATTGAGTCAGATGCTAGCTTTTATCATGACAATGAAATGAATTACACATGTCTTTTAAAATAGCCATAACTACTCAACATAATAATAATTATTGAGTAAAAAAACGCAGTAACATTATCTTACCTGATCAGCTTCTTCAAGTATGTTTATCAGATGCTGAGCACTCTTCCAGTCATTCCTGGTTACAAACGTTATTCCTGTACCTGAACGTCTGAGGATAAAAAAATATCAAGGGATATGTACTATGCGGGAAAACATTACTTTTCAAAACATAGAAGATGAATATATATATAATCAATGTTAAAATTTTTACCTTTATCAAGAGTTAATGTTTTTACTGTAAAAGAAAAAAAGAACAGCACAAAACATTTTCTGAACACTTCCTACTTTGTCTGCACATTTTTCTGCATTAGGATTGAGATAAATTCCATTGCATGAATGATTTATTTGTAAACAGAAAACAACCTGTAACATTAAAATAAATATTTATGGAAAAAGAAATGAAAAGACACAACGCCTAAATTACAACAAAAGGAATTTCAAACAGCTAAATATGTTGCAATATGCCTAACTTAAACCAATTAATTAAAGAGCATGTCACAAATGACATACCCAGCACGCCCAGTTCTCCCAATGCGATGAACGTATTCTTCAATGTGACTAGGGAAATCATAATTGATCACGTGCCTGGAAATAAAAACGATTCATAAAAGAACAAATTGTTTCTTTCAAATATACTTACACACAGGTTACAACATCAAAGTTTAATGAAACAGCTAATATAATATATATATTATATTAATTCCATTGGGAACCTTATATAGCCAACCATTGCAGTGCCTGGCATTTGCAGACGATATAGTGCTACTGGGTAGAAACAGTATTACATAATAAAAGCTATTCAGGGAAGAAAAATATATGATAAAGACCAAATATATGATAATGTCAAGAAACTCCCATGCTGATGATAACATCAATATAAAAAAACACAAATTTGAGAGAGTTGACTACATTCAAATATCTAGGGACAACTATAAACTAGCACAATGAAATAATGTCGGAGGTGAAAGAAAAGATAACAGCAGGCAACCGTTCCCATTGCAGGCTACGAAAGCTACTGGGAAGCAAAAACCTCTCAAGGGAAACAAAAGAAGACAATATACACCACTATCATAAGACAAGTAGTATTGTATTGAACAGAAACTCGTCCCTCTCCCCAATAGACAGCGACGAGGCCATGACAGGCAATTCAGGCTCATACCAGCAAGAAGCCAGAATAAGAGCTGCTCATTCCTGCCCAAGACAATCAGGGACTGGAACAAGCTTTCAAAAGGAACAGTTGAGGCGACAACACTAGACTCATTTGTGTCTATTGCCTCAAGCCTTCAAACCCCCAGTGCATGATTCCCTCACAACGTGGCACTGAAAATCAGTGAAATGTCCTCATCAACACCAGGCACAGAAACATTGCAAATCCCCTCTACTTGCATAGGAGCCAAAATGATCAATAAATTGATCGTGGGCCCTTAATATATAGAAATAGAAGAAGAAGAAGTGAGACTTGAACCCTTACCAGAAAAGCAGAGAACCTTCTCAATACTTGGGAGGAGAGGAAAATCCTCAGAAAATATACGGCCCAGTGATGGAAAATATCTAGAGAATCTGTACAAACCAAGAGCTTTACCAATTGTTCAAAGACCCACCCATGGTCATAACGATAAAAAAAAAAAGGCAGACTGGGGTGGGCAGGAAGTATTGAAAGGATGCCGGAATGTAGAGCAGCATATACAGGCAGAAACCTAGGGGCAGACAACTCGCTGGTCGCCTAAGGCTGAGATGGATCGATGATGTAGAGAAGGATTTACACCAGTTGGGGGTTCACCCAGTGGTGGAGCAGGCCAGGGCCCTACATGGGCTGTAGCGCCACTGATGATGATAATATATTAGTTACATTACATTAAAAATGTATCTGATACCCGGTATGCATATCAATACATGTGAACCTACGTGATGTCCTTCACATCTAAACCACGCGATGCAACATCTGTAGCAACAAGGATACGAACAGTTCCATTTTTGAACTCTTCTAGGGCTGTCTCACGATCACACTGCTCCCTGTAACAAAAAAGTTTTATTTCATACATTTGCAGCTAGTCAATATGCACTCACTCTGATAGTTTGACTGGCAAATGTATCTTGCTAAGCCACTGAAATTGTTGACTTTGATCAACCAAGTTATATATTTTAGGATTCTAAAGAATGTTTATATCCACTTATACATATCCATCTATCTGTTGGGAAGGGAATTAACTACAACTTTCTGGTTTCATACAAATCTGGCCTTAAGTTTCCAGATAAAATGCTTACCTGGCACCATGGATACACTGACACATGACATTGTTCATCGCCAAGTCACTTGATACATCATCTGCACTGCAAAGTGTTGAACATAATTTAAAGTATTAATTAATTATTATTATGCCTAATGATATAGAGGAATGACTATTGATTTTATCAGTGGTGGCTAGATGATCTTCAGGTTAATAATTATTGCCAAATTTAAAGCTAATAAATTTACTTCTTTTATAATGATTAGTTTTACAATAGATTAAAAATTTATAAAAACAGAGCCCTCTGAAGTTCTTACAATGTTTGTTATGAGCCCGATCTTACCAGGTTTGATAGCTTCGTTTGTCTAGGGGTTATAGTAACTACACAAACGATTGAATTCATAGATAAGTATTTTATTAACCGCACAACTAAACTACATTGTCAACTGCTGCCATTCCTCAATCACAACACACTACACAATACCTCATTTCTCCTTATGCAAAATACATCACAAAATACCAAGCATTTGATAGCAACATCTACCCAAATACTCTCCAACTAACACGCAATCACAAAACACATACAAGTCCTTAACAATGTATAGCCCCAAGGAACAAGCACAAAATGGCCAATGAGCACATTTTACAACCTGCAAAACTTGGACTATTCAGTTCACTAACACATTAGAACATTCCACTTACATAATTTTCTTGCCAACGAAGACTATAACCTTTTCGTCATGTGACATCTGGCTGATGAAATCTAAAAGCTGAAAATAAATTGAAACATTTTTGGTAAGGACCTGAGGGAGTACGGTACATAATTAGATCTTTGATATAACTTTTAAATCATGCTTCAGTGGTCTACCCTTAATGAACTAGTCAATAGTTTTAATCTACGACAATTAATTATCCATACCAGACTTTTCTTATCCTCCTCCTCCACAATTTCCACTATCTGTTTTACACTGTGAACTGCCTGTAGAATACAGAAAATTTGCTAATTGTTATTATATGTAAGCTAAGTCTGCACATTCAATTTAAATATATTCAATTTAAATAGATTCATTGATCATATACTTACTTAATAGCCTGGTGTTATTGCAACTTCTGAATATATCATATTCAAATTGCTAATATCATGGGGATAATATTTAATCACCAATTGTGCATGTGGGGGGGGGGGGGGGGGG